ACTCCACGTCACTCTGACCTTTGAGGCTAGTCACTGGCAAGTCAGCTCAACTTAGGCTGCGGAGTTAGACTTGTCCCCTTCACCATCTCGCATTCCATTCGCTTTCCCGGAGGAAGATTCACATCGTGGTAAGCATCACCATTAGTAAAGCCTGCATCCTGTTCCAATCTCCAACCCTACTTTTCCTGAGCCCTGAATGAGTGCGTGTGTGCATGCGCAGCGAATGTGTCCCCCTATTTCAATAAACTAGACATTTAGGGTTAACATCAGTCTCAGCCTCATTTCTTGGAATCCTCTGGTCTCTTGGTATAAACATTGGGAGAGCAGTCCCCAGGTTCTTGTAGTCTACCCACCTCTTGCAATATTTGAGCTAATTACAAAAATTCCCCTAAGGATTTGGCTACATATTTTGTTCTATGCATCAGGCTTCAGAGGAAATGATGCATGTGGAGCCATGCATGCTTGCGTAATGTTAATCCCTGTTGACCTAACCAGTTCCCCCACCCCAACTGTGAATAACTTTTTAGGAGCACCTGCCCTTTTTTATAATGTGTTGGTCTCTTGTCTTGACTCTTGGAAAGGAGAGATGCTCAATGGCCACCCCAAAAACAACTGTCAAATAATTAGCAAAACCACAATTTAAATGTCAAATAAGTAAAGAAAAACAAACAAACTAGAATCCACTGTCCTGCCTAACATATTTAATATTTATTTAAATGTACATATTTAATTAATATTCTTTCTCATTTTCCATAGATGTCCTGTATAAAAACTGCAGAGTTCTGAGGCAATCTGATGCGTCCTTGGCCTCTTTCCTTGACCCTTCCCTGCTCCTCTAGCAGCGTTCTTCTCTGTTTAATAAATATGTGACCACATGTCAGCAACAACTATTCTGTGGTGTGACACATGGACACAACTACCCTAAAATTTTCCTATAATGTCTCAATGGGAAACAGCACAGCCCCCCCCCCCCCCGCAACAACTCTGTCTTGTAACAGCTGTGCTTGCAACCCACACCAATATTATTATTTTTCCAAGTGTCCCTGTGAGTGAGGAGGGAAGTGAGGGGGTAGGCTGGGGAGAGACCTTTGTGCGCCAGCCCTCCTTCAGATAAACTTTGTTACTGGATCAACTTTGAACAAGGAAGAGAGGCATGCATGTAAAGCAAAGACTGAAATTTATTTTTTTCTGGTTTAAATTAAAATGTTGCTTTTAAAGGCATGAGCTTTTGTATCAAATCTGCACGGCCAACATTTGGAGCCTTTGAATTCAAGTCATCAGGTCAGCCAGAAAAACCATTAGCTTACAAAATATCATTAGAAGGGTAATTTGAACTGCATGTGTGGCACTCATTTTGCTGAAGGCAAGGGAAACAAGCAAACCGCTGTCTTTCTGGGTAGGTTCTTCCAGCAAGAGCTAGGGCAAGGCAGGTCTTTCCCACTGGAGCACAAAACATTAAAGGTACTTTGTCAAAGAATGTGTGTGACATTTTTAGAAAATCCTGCTTGACATAACAAATAGGATTCACTAATGTGTTAGCTGTCACTCTTCCTTAGCCTTCTGTCCTGCAGGTGTTAATCTGCAACTCATTTTCATCTATGCCCAGTGTGACCAATAATTGTGATCCATTTCATTTGGAGGGCCAAAAATAGAAGAACACCATTGCATGTGTAATTCACCATGCTGCTCCCATTATAAAATTAAATTTAAACCCTTCTCCTCTTCCTCCAACAATCTCAAGATGGTGTATGTGACTCTTCTCCACTTTATATTTATCAGCACAACAACTGTGGGAGGTAAGTTAGGCTAAGGGCCCTTGGTCTATGGCAGGAGTAGGCAACCTTTCCCCTTTAAGGGCCGAGGGACTTCAGCTCCCAGAATCCCAGGAGCTATTGGCCAACATGGGACCGTTGGCCAACATGGCTGAGGCTTCTGGGAGCTGAAGTCCCTCGGCCCTTAAAGGGGAAAGGTTGCCTACCCCTGGTCTATGGTAACCCAGTGAGTTCCATTGCTCATTGGGGCCTAAAAGATGGCTTTCTGAAGTCAATAGCCAATCACTCTATTGAGACTATTGCTCCACATTCTTAAAACAGGGCTAGATCACTTTAACCGCTCTGGCTGCCTCCTGTTGCATTTTGGAACATGTAATTTAGGAAGGAGTATTTAGAATATTCAGCCAGAGACCCCTTAAGCTTTACTGAACTACAAACCCCAAAATGCAACAGGAGGCAGTCAGACCAGTTAAAGCAACCTATCCTCGTTTTAACAGTGCAGTGATATAAGCTCCTAAATTGGCACTGAAACTTGGGGTTGCATGTAACCATTACGACATCGTTGTTGTTGTTGTTGTTGTTGTTAGCTGCCCTTGAGTCAGTTCTGACTCATGGCAACCCTGTGGATGAGATCTCCAAGAATCCCTATCTTCCACTCCCTTGCCCAGATCCTGTAAGCCCTTGCCCATAACCCCCTGATCGAGTCTATCCATCTGGTTTGTGGTCTTCCTCTCTTTCTTCTACCCTCTCTCTCTTCTGCCCTTTCCTAGCATTATTGTTTTTTCTAGTGATCCATGCCTTCTCATTATGTGGCCAAAGTATAATATTCTCAACTTGATCATCTTTGCTTTCAAGGAGAGCCCTAGTCTGATCTGTTCAAGAACCCATTTGTTTTCTTGGCTGTCCATAGTATTCTAAGTACCACATTTCAAATGAGTTGATTTTCTTATCTGCTTCCTTCACTGTCACCGTACATAGTAATTGGGAATACAATGACCTGAACAATTCTGACTTTAGTGCTCAGTTGTATGTCTTTACCCTTCAGTATCTTTTCCAGTTCTTTCATAGCTCCCTTCCCATTCCTAGGCTTTTTCTTATTTCTTGACTGCAGTCTCCATTCTGATCAATGTTTGATCCTAGATATGGGAATTCTTTAACCATTTCAATTTCCTTATTGTCTAGATTTAATTTGTGTATTTCTTCTGTGGTCATTATTTTTGTTTTCTTTATGTTTAGCATCAGACCTGCCTTTGCAATTCCGTCTTTGACTTTCCTTATTAACTGTTCCAATTCCTGAATGTCTTCTGCTAATAATATGGTGTTGTACGCATATCTTAGGAACAACCTATCTTGACTCTTCCTTTTTCTGATTCATGATTTCTGATTCATGATTTCTGACTCGTAACTAGTAGCTGGTGAGATTTCTTCTCTAAATTTGTCTAATCGCCTTTCAAGGCTAAGTGGGTGGTCACTGCAGCAACTTTTTGAAGCAGTGATTCCCATTTGTTGGTATGCTGTTTGCCACTGTATCTCTTTTTATTACAGTATTGGAGAAGAAGTACTTCCATCTGCCTGGCCTGAACTGGCTACTGTTGTGCACCTTTGGATAATCCTGGGTTCTTGTATCCTTCTGGAGTCGAAGAGGAGCAATTCATTTTCCCCAATTCTTTTACATCATGTATCATTTTCTAAAACCTCTTTCACATTCCCCTGTAGTCATCTTCTCCCACTTGTCCACTAAATTGTGGTTTCCTTCACATTAGTGCTGAAGTAACACTCTATCATATGGTTCTATTGACCCACACTCCTTTTATATGCAGA